CCTCAAGGTTCAGCCTAAGAGGATACAGGCAGGTACCACCAGCATCTGCTGTACCAGACTTTCCAGCCCCAAATACGTTTACTTTTACTCTCATTTCCCTAAGATTGTATTTTCCAAGTAAACCATTTAGATTTAATCCTTGCCTCAGCATAGGTTTTCTAAGGAACCTGGGTACAGTAGATGCTAAAAGCCCACCCTACATCTTCTCGTCCCACTTGAGTTCACTTGCAGCCACAGTAGACAATCTCCATGCTCTGAGAGTTTACCACTTCACGTGCTTATATCTCAGATATTCTTTTCCTTACAGCTTTCTCCTGAACCATGGAGTATTAATCAAAGGTGTGTTTCACATGACTTCTCAGAAAGCACACAGGGATGGCTCCAGTTGTACACAGAGAAAACCTACTCATTAGTCTACCCTGTTTTGTGCTTCCCCAGAAAACTAACTCCACTTAAATCCTGTCTCTGGGTCTGCTTTTTGGGCAATCCCAATTAAAACAGGAGGTAAGACTCTATGCTTGTTATAAACAGGTGAATTCTACCCACCAATCCTGGTATAATTGACTGATATAGCTCTAATTAACTCAGTGAATATAAAATAACTATGCAGCTTTTCTTAAAATAAGAATATTGCAAAGTGCACTGCTTCTTGTAAAAATTTACAAGTAAAATAAGGTGACTCTAACAAATTAACTTTAAAATACAATACAGGATCCCAATTTACCAGCAAAGCAGTGATAAAGGATTTATTCTATGAAGTGTATCAGGACAACAGGCTACCCATTTGGAAAAGTATACGATTAGATACCTATCTCATTCCTTATAGCAAAATAAATTCCACAATTAAGCATAAAAGATGAAACCAACATAATCCCAGAAACAATGGATTATTTCAAAGTAATCTCAAGCAGAAATACAAAACTCAGCAAATATAAAAGAACATTAGGCTGACAAATTTTACTTTAATCAACCTCAATGGTTTTTTACCATAAAGCCTTTCAACAAAGAATCAAGAAACTGGAGCAATCTTTTGTCTCCATATGGATGTGTACACTTACAACACGTGGAACTTTCTCTGATTTGACCAGATTGCATTCTTGGTTCACTCCTCCCTCCTTGTGTGGCTCCAGTAGCTGTCCTCTGCTTCTTTTTGCTAACACATTGTTGGACCCTCTCCATCTCTATTCCTAGAGGGCATCAAACCATAAAGGGGTGACCACAAAGTGACAGGGCACACAAGTGGAACACTTACCATTTCATAAGGAATGCTTCAATGAAGATATAACATTTAACCTCTATTGAGAGAAAATAGGAGTTTTCCAGGGCAAGGGAGTAGGGGCAGGGTGGTAAACAGCATTTTGGGAATTGGAGATTTCATGTACAGAGAATATGCAGAGAATGACACAGCCAAATATATTGAAACATGAAATAGAAGATGCAAAGTTGGCAACGCATAATGAAAAATGATATGCAAAAGGTATTTTGACTCAATTTACAGAGTGCCATTCAGAAGTTAACTGATCAATACAAAGGGTATCTGACTCATTCTGTGTTTTCAAGAGACAGGCTTTCCAAAAACATGGAGAATAGACAGAGGAGAAGATACATTGGGGGAAGAAAAGACCAGCAAAATGCGTCAGGTACAAACAGCAGCATTTTAAATATTCAAAGTTTAATTTTGAGCAACAGCTCCAGTAGTTTATAAAAGAGGATCAGAATGACATCCCAAGGTATCAAAATATTATTTTTACTTTTCATAATTTCATGTATTTAATACTCCATTCAGATTCATGACTTCATTTAAGTATTTATTGAGTAGTAAGCACTGTGCAGTGTTCCAGCTATTGAGGATACAATGGTGAGCAAAACAGATGAAAACAATCCCGCCGTCATGGAGATTATATTTTGGTATGTGAGGCAAGCAAATGATCCAAAAGGATATCCAAACTGCCAAATTAAGACAAAAAGCTAGGAAGCACCCAGGGAGCAAAATCAGGAAATTTCATCAGATAACAATTTCTTTATACTTAACAAAAATTCACTTATTTCTCTCTTTTGGTTACCAAATAAAAGAAGTTGGGGGGGAAATATTATTATCACCCCTACACCTTTTCAGATTTTGAAGCAGAACATCAGAAAAGGTAAGTAATTTTCCCACATTGATAAATGTCAGTAGAGAGGTAAGCCTCACCCCTGGACTCTCTGATGCAGACACATCTCATGCCTTTCCCATAAGTCATCTCTGTGCACAAGAAACACAACAAGGACTAAAGGGAGGGAAAGATGTAGCTTTATTTGCTGCTTAAAACAATGAACAATAGATAGAAACATGTTAAGAATAACTTGAACTTAATGACAATGTTTGTGGTTCTGACGTAAGGGAAGATCTTTGCAGCTTTCTGGAAATGGTCAGAAATATGCTGTTTCAGGGATGTACTACCATTTCTACTGCCAAGAGACTAAAGTGTAATAATGCATGGAATATTAAATTAGAGACATTTTGTTAACCTGATGAATGAGCCTTAGTTTCTTTGGGACTAGAACATTGTCGTAGATACATAAGAAGCCCAACAGTAAACAGGAAAATCAAAACAGACAAAGAAGGAATCACAATCAGTGGCAAAAATCCTCTTTTCTTTGCAGATGCTGGGCCACTGTCAACACTACCCCCATAGCCTCTGTGCAGGCAGTAGGGAGGGGACCACCCATAGCCACAGTGGCAGTGATGTTGGTTATTGCAGATCCCCTTCATATTGCAGGTCTCAGGAAGGCAGACGTGTGACAAGACAGACAGACTGACACACTTCTTGTGGATGCAGATCTTTCCTGGGCCACACACAGTACCATCTTTCACGTCACCAATGTCAGGTATGTTCATCCTTAAATGATAGTCAATACCCCAGCAGGTGACGCCATTGATACGAGTGTGCTGCAAAGTAAAATGATCTTGGAGAAGAGGAATGTCTCTCACATTCTCACATTGAACTCTCCCACAAAAGACATCAGAGATATGACATTTTAGGTATGTTGTGCCATTTATACCACAGTGACCAAAACGGTTTCCCTGAGAGTTGATTTCTTTATAGCAATTCTGAGATGCACTTTTTGCATCTTTACCAAAAATCTCCCTGCAATGCTGGTCATGGTTATTACATCTCTTTTGATAGCAGTAGGCACTGTCACTACAGGGGAACCCGTCCTGCACATATCTATCTTCTGGACACTGATGGGATGTTCCATTGCACCATTCTGGGAGGTCACATTCATTGACCTCTTGTCTACAGAGTTCCCCTGATGGCATGAACTTGCAGTCTTTGCAACAAAGCCCGAAAGCACAGGCAGCCCCAGGCCTTAAAGTACAGTTCAACAGACAACAGGCATCTTGTTCACACTGCTGTATGGATCCACAGTCACACTGCTCTTCTCTTTCAACCACACCATTCCCACAGCGCTTTAGCATAAAGATTTCCCCCAATCTTGGAGGATTATGCAGACATGATCCCTGGTTTAAAGTGGTCTTCATAAAATCAGCATAACTGCAATTGGTGAATTTCTCTGCTGGCACTCTAAAAGTATTCATGATGCAACCTCTTTCCCCACAAAAACAGAATTCTTCATCATGCTGCATACCCAAAATATGACCTAACTCATGGGCCACAGTGTTGGCAAAAAGAGACCAGGTATCTCCTTGAAAATTATCAACTCCACAATCAATAGGTGGACGACATATTCCTGCAATGTAGGCTAGACCAAGTATACTTATAAGTGAATTTTTTATGAACATATGTGCAGCATCATGCTGTAGTTGGGAAAGACTGATTTGTTTCCATTGAGAGAAATCGTTCAGGACCTGTTCTATGCTTGTCATTGGGAAAACATTTCCTTGATTCCAAATTTCAATTCCAGTCAAAATTACATAACTACCTAACTGTTTATACATGGAATCCACTATGTTGACAACAAGAAATACATCCTCTTGTACCTTTGAGATGTTGCTTTGAGAGTAAATGAAGAAATCATGGTTCACCACAACAACTAGCTCCAGAAACCATGCATGGGTCCACCAGTCGCCAGCAGATTTTGGTTCCAGAGCTGAGTTTTCAGCCTCTTCAAATCCCAACTGTTGGCGTGCTACTTCCTTCTCTGTTAAGCCACATCTCATAGCTG